TCGAGCTAGCTGGTTGCTGCGTTGGTGAAATGGCTTCGTGCGGTTATTCTCTCTTGCTTCAAGATCCTATACCTTGTGGAGCAAGCTGGAGGAATACCGACAATATACAGTGTACTGCTTTGAGTGAGTGTGACAAAGACATAACGCARCACCTCAAGACCTGTAAATTAGTGGCTGATGATTTTGTTAAAGACGAACAAACACTTCTACTTGCAAGAGCAGGTAACTGATGTTGTTTCTTTCATGACTTTCATACTTTCCGGTTCCCTGCTAGCAGAGTTCATCCACGGGAGACGCTATTAGCATGGAAACTCTACGGCAACCCCAAAAGCTAACCTTTAATCGTGTTTAATTTTAATTGAAGGAGTTTTKCAATCAGATGATTCGAATCTGTCTTTGACTATTTGTCCACACCACCGRGATGCCTGTGGTGCTCATTGGAAATGCGGGAAAGTGAGGTGTCCCATTCCAAGTGAGGTAGCTTCTCACAAGTCCTCTGCAAAAGGAGATCGTAGTGTTAACAGCAATGAGTCACAGTACATCTTCTTCATAACGAAAACATTGATCCCAGTAGGAACACGTGAGTTATAAATATGCATACYTTTTTAATATTATCAGAATGACTATAACACCCATAATGCATTGCTAGTCAGCAATTCCGTCTATTGTCTACATTTGACAAAGTCGGGTCGTTTATATATATCATTTTTGATTATTATCAACAGTAATTTGTAAAAGATGCAAAGAGCAACTTGCCGATAAAGTGAAGGATTTTGGTTGACACAACTGCTCGCAAAGGAACATCCCATGTGGATGACGCAACTGAGGGCTTCGATAACCAAGAAAGTAGTGGAGAAGAAAGCGTGCAACAGGTATGCGTATTTTGTCGTATGAAATATATGATTTAATCAGGGGCATAGCGAGGTTGGGATTATGAGGAGGGGGGGGGGGCGTGTATGTACCATTTTCCCGCCAAATCCACAGGAATCCCGCATGAATTAATTAAATTTTGGTGCCGAAAGCAAACTTTTTTTTTGGCGGGGGGCACGGGCCYCCCATGCCCCCTCCCTACGCCAGTGGATTTAATGCTATTTCAAATTACTTACAGTTGTACCTTTTTTGCAGGGGAGCGATAAACAGGCTTCTTCATGCGACGAGCTAGAGAAGAAAATGGAGAAGCTTGAGCTTAAAGATGAAAGCTATTTTCTGTCGCCAG